TAAATACTAAAATTATCATTCTGGAATGGGACGTCCCTATTTTCATCGGGGAAACGTTGGAGGGTATGGAAATATATGAGGACGGACATAGATCAAGTGCTTCCTTACTTGCGTGGGAAGCAATTCATGCGCTTCACATCCCACCTCAGCATGAGCATAGCCAGAATTGTGTTGGGGGTGGGCAGAACTTCAGTTAGCTATGTGTTTTTTATTGACTTGCAGCTTCCCCTCCCTGCCTCCCCTTAGCTTAAGCGCGCTTCCGCCTGCCAGCCCTGCAGTTAGCGACCAGTGAGCGGGAGGTGGGGAGACAGAGCTACCTTTTCACTCTACCTGCCGACTCAGATAGCAAGGACTATTTAACCCACGGTCTCATCCCTTTCAGTCCGGCCCTCATCCATGCCGGCACCGTACCTAAACCACCAGGTCACTGTGCCAGATGAACCCTCCCGCTTTTGATCTTCACAAAAAAGGAGAGGGGGAAATCTGATGGGAGGTTTCCCCTCTCCCTTCAAGTCTACCCTGTGCAGCTGGATCCTTCCTATGCACCTTTACGCAGAAGTAAATCTCTCTGAAGTCAATGGGAGTCTCCAATGAAAAAAGCGCGAGTAGAGTGCAGCCTTAAATGCTCACGGCCACATGTCTCTCCTTCTCCCTTGCCAGGTGAGCATCCCTGGCTCAAAGAAAGAGGGGGCGGGTTGGAGGCGGACACGCAGGTCGGATCTAGCTTCCTCTTCCGTCCTCTAGCTATGGATTAGCATCCTGATAATAGCCCAATCCGAAGTCATGCTGGAGCAGCCAAATCCACAGGGCCAAAAACGGATACACCTCTGTGCGTCTCAAGGGAAGTCAGGCCACTGGTCCATTTAGTTCAGTATTGTCTGCACGCACCGGGTGTGGGGAACCTTTTGGGCCGCCTGACGTTGCTGGACTACAACTCCTATCATCTGTGACCATTGGCCATGCTTGCTGAGGCTGATGGGAGTTGGAGTCCGGCAACAGATAACCGGCCAAAGGTTCCCCGCACAAGTCTACACGACCTAGCAGCGGCTCCAGAGGAGTCTTCCCCAACCCTGAAGGTGCTGGAGGTTGGATTTGGTGGGACCTGCTCTATCGCTGAGCTGTGGCAGAAAGGCATCGCTGGAACCTCCTGCTCGTGTTCCCGGGAAGCGATTTCTCCTTGCATTTAGCGAGTGTGATTTTGACATCAAAATTTTGGACACGCCCAAACTAAAGCTTTGCGGATGGTGTTGGTTGCAAGGATAGAGCTGAGTAGGCGTTTAAGGTTGCAACGACGAACGCTTGCTAAGGAGGAAGGATGATTCTGGGTCACCAAACATTGGGAATCAGGAATAGCCCTTATTCTATTTGTTCTAGATCAGGCATCCCGAAACTCGGCCCGCCAGATGCTTTGGGACTACAATTCCCATCATCCTTGACCACTGGTCCCGTTAGCTAGGGATGATGGGAGTTGTAGTCCCCAAACAGCCGGAGGGCCGAGTTTGGGGGCGACTGTTCTAGATGTTCTATTTGATGGACCCAGCCCTGGGATCACGTGTGTGAGGAAGGGCGGGCTAGAAATTTGTTTATATATATACCCCGCTTGATTGTTTTTCCTTTTTTTAAACCTCTTAAAGCGGTTTACAAAAACGAAGGAAATCCATCCCGTTGCATTTCTTATATGGCTTTCTTTCGAATACAGATGAGCGTCTTCCCCCATTGAAATCAATGGGGATCCAAACGTGTTTGGCTCTCGTGTCTTTTTAGGCGAGTCTGGACTGTCGTGGGTGCGACCTTGGGGCGCGCCCTCTCCCCGGGGAAGGCCTTGATCTTCCTTCCCCCGCCCGACTTGGCTAACAAAGGTGACCCGATCCGAGGCAGATTTTTCTCGGGAGCGAGTCCCCGCGTGCCCAGCGCCACGAAGCTCTGGTCGAGGCCATCTTCCTCTGCCGGATCTGCCCCGATGCCCCACACTCTTCCCCCTCGTTCTTAGGCTGCTGGCAGGGAATGGCGGAGACGGGCGACGGGGCTGGTCATCAGAGAACATGACCTGTTGGAAGGCGGCCTGCTTCCCACAACTGGCCACGATCCGCCAGCCGGACACGAGAGCCCTGCGGCCCCTTCGCACGGTTTCCCTCAGCGACTGGCATCGGGACTCAAAGGCGGCCCTTTTCCCTTTCACGGGGGCCCGAGTTCCGAGAGAGCGCTTCCCTTCTCCTGCCCTAAATCTCCCAGCACGATCCAGCTCCACTGGGCGATCGAGGAGGATCCACTAGCGACGACGGGAAGCCCATCCACTCGCTCTGTACACCTCCATCGCGCGCCTTTTCCACTAAACGAAACACCAAAAGAAGCCTTCTCCTGTCAGGGCTGCGCCTCTCGATCTGTGGGGCTGCCCTTTTGGGAACCTTTTCCTGCCCTACAAGAGCCTCTCCCTCTCCCGCCTTCCTGAGGCGACCATGCCCAGCGCGAGAGAGGAGCGAGCCAGCCGCAGCCTGAGGTGTTTCCGTTCCCTTTTCTGAGGCGGGCGGGCTCCGTCTCTTTCGGGGCCTGCGCCTCACCTCAGAGAGACCCCTTCCCTGGTCAAGTCAAGGCCGGCTGAGGAGGGCGGGATGGCTCGGCCATCTCACCCTCGCGGGTTTCAGTCGAGCCTTTTGGGCCCACTTCATGCTCATCCCCACCTTGTGGAGCTCTGAGCGAAACACCCACCCACTTCTTCATTAAAAAGCTTTGGCCGCCGTTGTCGTGCCAGCACTCTGCCTGACTGGGTGCCCTCCGCAAACGGGGCCCGGGCCTTTGGGCGAGTTCCGAAGCCGCCGAGGCCCACCGAGAGCGGCGGGCAGAGGACGAGGAGAAGGAGCGGCCGCCCTGAACAGGCCACCCTGCCCCTGCCGCGTCCGGCCGCCTGCCAGCCAGGCTTCTCCTCGCGGCCTCCGAGTCTTCCGGCGACTCTCCCGGCAGGCCGCGGCGACCTCCAAGCGACGGTTCGCTCTGCGGGGAAAGGGCGCGGAACCTGGTTGGTTAGGCTCCCCTCTTGTAATGCGCCCCGCCGACAAAATGGCGCCCCCGCCTCGCCCGGCAAGAAGGAGCGAGTGAAGCTGGGCCTCGGGCTCTGCTGCCCGCCTGCCCTTTCCTCGGGGCTGGGCTGCCCGGGCCCCTCACAAGGACCGGACTCTTCGCTCCACGGAGCCTTGGCCTCGCCCGGGGTCCCGCCTGCAGCTCCCTCTTGAGCGGGAAGGAAAAGGCGCCTCTTGGAGGCCTTTCGAGGGCCCAGGATAGGCCGCGAGGCCCGAAGGACGGCTCTGGAGTGGATCGCCTAAGATCCAAGATGGACGCGGGGCGGGGGAAGCACTTTGGTTTTACCCGCCCCTGGTTGGAGTTGCTCCTGTTTGTGCGTATTTACACCCCTGGCCCTGTAGGATAATGATCGCCTGCTCCCTGCCCTCCTTTAGATGGAGCCCCCCAATAGCATTTTTTTTGCTGCTGCTCGCACACACCAATGTCAAGCTGACCCCCAACTTTCCTTAGGCGTGCAGCATTTTGAAACACCACAAAAGTCGCATCCCCCATCCCTGTCGCCCCTACTTTTTGCATTCTCCACTCCCCCCCCCACCCGCAGGCTTTTTTCGATTGTGCCTTCTTCCCCTGGGCCTCTTCCACCTCGAGTCTGTTTCTTGCACGTACACGCAGAGACCTCGCAAAAATGATTTTCCTTTGCAGATCTGTTTGCATGCAACAAGCGTCGGAGAATGGTTGCACATTTTGGGAAATGTTGGGCAGCTGAAGCAAGCGAAACCAGCATTTCCCCTGGGACCAGATCACTTTATTTCAACGCCTGGCTTTCTCGTAACGTGTACTCGACACACTTGGAAAGTTCTCTGAGAGTCGTCAAGCTGCCCCGGGTTGCGAATGGGAAACAGAAGAGCTGCGTCTCCAGGGAATATAAAGACGGAAAGCCATCGCCATACGTGCTACATTAAGAATTACTGTTTTTTAATTGGTATACAAGCTCTTATTACGAAAATTCAGGTTCTGACTACTTTAGGGCACAATACTGCCAGAGTCGAGCTCAAAGTTGCGTCCCGTTGGTTTCAGCGTGAAAAGTTGCTCTTAATTTCCCCCATTGCAATCCGGATCACGCTCTGACTTCGTTAGCCTTTAAGGTACCGCAGGACTCTGGAGTTTTCAACGACTTGCAGAAATCGTTTTCCATGCTTCCAGGAAGAAGGAAGAGCGAGATTTGTTCCTTCTCTATTGGCCTTGTCATGAATTATCAATAATCAAAGACACTCTCTGATTACTAATGATGCGTCCAGTTAATCATCTCTATGGTAATTTTTTTTCTTTCACTGTGCTAGCAGGGGCTTCAGATGCAACCAATGAATACCGTGCTGGAAGGATCTATCAATCATCTATCCATGATGGGGGAAATAGCTGTCGCAAAACTGATTGAAAATAATTCACTGAAATTCATCTTTGATATAACATCATCGCCACGACAAAACTGATCTCATCTGATAAAATTGCCTAACAGGAAAACATTTGAAGGCCCATCATCTTAATATCGAAGCACCTAACTGCATATCCGAGGTGGGATTATACAGAAATACATTAAACCAACCATTTGAAAACTGCACATGGAGAGAAAATGTTTGCAACCTAGAAAAAAATGTTGCACTCGACTGGAGAGGGAAATTAAACGGTTTCCATTAGTTTCCCCATGTTCGAGGCAGATCTCGCCCCCTCCCCACCCGCCCCCCGTGCGCGATTGGTTGGTTTTGCAAAAGACGTTTCCCTCGGCGGAGTTTGACAGCCGAGTCCCTTCGCCGCTTACTCAGAAGTATGTCTCACTAAAGTTCAGCGAGTACAGGATCGTGAGCACAGCGAGCTGCAGTTAATAGTTTTCTCGCGGAGCAAAAGGCAGCGAAGCCAGCGCGCGGTGCCTCGGCTGGGAAAGGGTTAACGGCCAGCGCTGGTCCGGGACCCCCAACTCGCGCCCAGATCGCTTTGCCTGGAAAAAATTAACAACTTCTTCGGGCTGCCGTGAGAGCCAATCAGGCGGCTCCCGGGGCAGAGCCCTGCCCAATGGGAAAGGCCGGCCCGGGAGCTGTCACTCACCGGAGAGGAATGACAGCTGGGCTCTCCTGAAAAAGGCCGAGGAGGGGAGAGGAAAGAAACAGAGGTGGAGGGGGAACGACGGGGAGGGCCTGCCGAGGGGGGACCGGAGCGCGAGGAGCCGCGCCGAGCGGGCGCGAGCACACCAGGCGGACCCGACGCCTGCCGGGCTCTTTATGGGAAGCCTGCGCAGGACGCCCCGGGGCCCCGACGGCGCCGCCGCTGCTGCTGCAGCCCGAGGAGAGGCGATGCGCTCGGCGAGCTGAAGGGAGGCTTCCCGCTGGAGAAGGCGCCCTAGGAGCGGGCGAGGGGCGGGGGCCGGAGACCGATGGCGGTGCGCAGCAGCAGCACCCCTGCCCCGACGCCCTTCTCCATCCAGGCCATCCTCAACAAAAAGGAAGAGCGGAGTGCGCGGGGCTTCCTGCAAGGCCGACTGCAGCCGCCGCCGCCCGCAGGGGGCGCCTCCGCCAGCCCCGACGTGGCGCCCGCCTGCTGCTGGAGGCTCTTCGGCGACGAAGCGGCGGCGCTGGCCGCGGCGCTGCACCAGCACCAGCCTGCCTCCGCCTTGGCCCCCGCGGCTTCCAGGGCTCCCGGACTCGCCGTCTGGGACTCCGACTCGGTCCTGAGCGAGGAGCAAGAGGGCGACAAGGAGGAGGACGACGACGACGAAGAGGACGACGACGAGGACGGCAGCAAATCGCCCGCGGCCTCCCGGAGGCCACGAGAAGGGCAGTCCTCTGGTTCTGGCGCCCGATCGCTGTCGGAGGGCTCGGGCAGGGAGCCGCCGGGACAGGAGCTCCAGGAACGGTCCCCGGAGGGTCTCAGCGACATTGAGCTCTCAGCCCGAATTTCAGGTACGCAGAGATTACGCGGGAGTCCCAGGGTGGAGTTTGCGCTTTTGAAATCCGGATTAAAATGGCCAACCCATGGCGCTTTGCTCGCAGGAGCTGATTCCCGGAAATGCCAGCTCCGCGGCACCTATTAAGCATGAATTGGAATTGCAGGGCAGGGGCGGGGGGGATGAGAATATCCATCCTAAATCATCGCGTGTTAGCACAGAGAAACACGCACCCTCCGTGTGCCAAAGGAACGAATCTGCCCCACTGATCTGGAGACGCCAGTTAGCCTGTTAGGGCCGGTTTAGAGTTCCACTTTGAGCGGCCTTTCAGAAGATCCCTGCCCTAGGAAACATGCTGTAGGGGGAACGATCCAACTACTATTTTAACGCAGCAGTCCTTTGCACACTTACACCTAGATCTAAGGCCCACTGCAGTGCGCTTAGACTTGGTCCCGAACGCCCGCGCGTAAGAGTGCGCTGTTCGTCCGAATGGAGACGAATGGGAAGGAGAATTTAGCACTACTGACTGCGTCTCGCTCTCTCCTGCTGCTCATGGTGGACAAACTCGGGCTGAGGCCACAGAATTCTGGACCCTTCCAGCTTGCGGCCCAGGGAGTCATCTTTTTACTGCTTTCTCCATAAAAAGCGCTGTGCATGTCCTCAATCGGCACGTAGAAGGTTTTACTGTAGCTCTCGTCCCGAAGGCTTAAGTGTATTTTTCGATTGCTTTTGTTTAAATAATGCATCTCAGTGTTACAAGCAGAGTCTATTGATGGTCAAGGAAACAACCCCCCTCCGCCCAAAAGAGAAAGAACTCTTTTAAAATATTAATTAAATGGGTCACGATCTTCAGGTCTCGCACCTTGCTACATTTTAAATGGAACCTTTCAGCGCCTTGGTTATTCAAAGCTTAGGGCCCATGTAAAGCGAGTTGCTTTTAAAACACTGGAGCATAAAGTTGCATCTTATTTATTTTCGTTTTTGCTTTGTCCGTGTCTCTTGCAGTCCTGCAAACACACGCGCTAATCTCCACTAAAATTACGGTGATGCGGACCTTTATAATCCCATCTTCCAGAACTCCACTCCCAACTTTATTATATAGAAATCTGTTTCTTTTTAATCCATAGTATTTCACTTAATTCATCTACAGCACAACCCTAGGCAGAAATCCTATACAGAAATTGCTTCCGTTCAGATCAATGGGGTTAAGCGGGTACAGATAAGACTGCAGCATTAGGCTAGACAGTGAGTCCATCACCCGCTGCTACTCCCAGTCCCCGCTCTCCCCATTCTGAAGGCCCCGGAGCTCGAGGCAGGCTGCAGGCCCTCCGTCCCAGAGAGCAACTGGCCTAGGGCCTCTTAGACTTTCGCTTGAAAACGGCGACTCTCCTCGTTTCCTCAACCCCAAGGCGGCTCCTCTGGACGCAGACTTCGGGATGCGATCCAAAGGATGCGAATTTGGTGGTAAAATCCGGGGCGGGGAGTCCCACTGCCTGATACCCACTTACATGGCGACCCGGTTCCGCGTCCACGTGCCAGGGAGGGGCCGTGCTATAGGGCGCCTTGCCTGCGGGAAAAAGCAGCATCTTCGGGGCAGAGCCATTACCGAAAGCCGCACCCCACCCCCCAAAAAGAAGAGGTCAGTTTGTTCCTTCCGGCCTACTCCGGAAACCATGCAGAGGGCTGTTTTACTCCAGGGAGTTTCCCAGCCTTCAAGGGCGCTTGTTCGCCTGGTGGCCATTGCGGAAGAACCGAGGCTGGCAGGCCGGGCGAGGTCTGGGAGCAAAAGGACTGGCGGGAATGGACGTCCAGGAACGGAGGAGAAGCAAGTTTATTTCAGCCTCGAGGGCGGGAATAACAGCCCTAAAAACAAGAGCAGTAACCCCGCGATCCAGCCCAAGCTGCGGGCTTTCGAGCCTAGTCAGTTCTTAAGCAGAGTTGTGCGCATACTTCAGACATTTGCGTGGAACTCCTGCGGTTAACTTCGCCGCCTTGCTTGCCCGAATTTTTGTTTTCGTTTTTTTAATGTAAGCTTTGAGGTGTAGCTTTCATAAGGCAGGATCGTGCCTCTGAATGAGGATCCATTGCCACGGGGAGAAGGGGAGGGCAGCCGCCGCCGTAGAATAGTGGGAGAGCAAGCAAGTGATATTTATTTGCGGGAGGCGGCTAAAATCCCTTTTCAGTTGCACGGTTCCAGGATTTCCAGTCACGTGAGCCGAATTAAATTTCATGTAAGGGATACTTTGGCCGGTCCGATCCACAACCTCATTAAGCCCTACGTAGTACTGAGCACGATTTTAAGATCAACGGAGCTCAAAATACTTCGGTTAATCCGTATTGAGACTCGCAAGGTCAACCAAAACAATAATCAGCTGCAGCCATTGAAACCGCTTGTGCCAGAGTATTTTGCTCTCTGTCCTGGGGACGAGCCCACGAGTGCTGCTTACTCCCGTGTAAAACACAGACGCAGATCCTCCTAAATGCTTCTAGGCCCACCGCCGTTGCTTCGTTTTGGGTTTTCACGCCTGTGGCCGGATGTGGCGTGGCTTTGAGTGGGCTCGGCTCTCCGAAGCCTTTCCCTGCCTGGTTTGCCAACTGGGCTCGCCTGCCGGATCGCCGGGACTGGGGCTTCCCTCCTAACTCCGCAACAGTCCAGTTGCCGACTTCAATGCGTGAGTGAAAGAGAAAGGCTTTCTCCGCCCTGCGCTGAACTCGATGGGTGGGGGGGGGACCTCTATTTGGCGCTGTGCTGTAGATGGAGCCCCCCCACCCCAGCCCCGTTAGAGTGCAGGGGCGGAGGACAGGTATCTCACTGAGACTGGAATCAGGTGTCCCCTGGGAGGGACGGGCGATTTTTGTTTGGTCTCCCTCCCCAGGAGTCCCGAAGGAGGCCTTCCTCCTTCTCTCCCCTCTCCTGGCTTTGCAGGCTCGCGATCGGTCTGCAGGAGCCTCCATCCTAACCCCAGAGGCCGCACCAGATAAAACTGTGGGCGCGGCGGGGGGGGGGCACGGAAGGGACAAAGTATATGTCTAGGTGTGAAGTTGCATCCCATATGTTAGGATCTCAAAGAAAAATAACTGCATATTAATGACAAGACTCCAGCAATTGGGCGGGGGGCGAGTTCTTTTGGGGGTACGGGAGGCGGCAGGGATGCATAGCTTCTGCCCGCCAGTTCTGCCCCTTCAAACGCCGTCGTGGGTCCCTACCCTGCCTGGTTCCGAGGTCCGCCTCCTTCCTGGATGAGCCAGGGACCCGGCCCAACTCCGTGTCAGTATTTATATCCCGCTTTTTGACGACAAAGCAAACGCGGCTTGCCATTTAAATGCCGTCCGAACAGCGAAAAAAGGCAATCCAGCATAGACGATAATGCGCTCGGCCAGAAAGCGTGTCTGAGGCGAAATAGTCTCGAGAGCCGGTTCCCAAAGCCCCTCTGCGAGGTCTCGTGCCCCTTCGAGGTCCTTGTTCGAGCCCCGTCTCTCTTCCTGCCTTCCTCCAGCCACTCTTCTGGGGCCTCGTGACCGGCAGGCCGATCTCCTCCGGCACGTTCCCGTGGCCCTCCGTGGGAAGGGAAGAGCCCCAGGCGGGTCCCTCCAGGTTTCCCCCGAAGCGCCTGGTCTGGCGGTGCCACGGTCTGTCGAAATGCCACGGGGTTTAATCCCAGGCCGAGTGAGTCTCGTATAGGGCGCTCGCCTTAGGCTCTTTTCCCAAATGAAAGCCTGTTCCCTGAAAGCGGAATGGGAGCCGCTGTCCGGAGACCGCCGCCCGCCTGCTACAGCCTTGCGTCCTGGCGGGCTTATTTCGAAGCCAGTCTCGGGGTCAAGGGACGCAAGCTGTTTGAAATGGCATTTCTCCCTCTATTCACTGGGGTGCTGACAACCGACTGTGGTTTACGACGGCCGGCGGCCTTTGATCCTAATCGTGTTTCTTTCAGAGTCAAGCGTAATGTGGGATCCGAGGCGGGAAGGGTGGCCGCGAACCACAAAACACAGTCCTGGGCTTGGGGGATTCCAGGCGCGCAATGTAGCTCCGTCGGGCTCCGTCGCTCGTCCTAAGCAGAGGTGCTAGCGAAGTGGAGGCTCACTTCGAGCTCACTTCGAATCAAACGGACTTCGGCTCTCCATGCTTTCTGAGTGTTTCTCAGAAGATCCTACACTTCTGGCCAACTCTGGTTCCAAACCCGTGTTACTATTGTGATTTACTCTCGAATGAGACTGGGTCACTGCGTGGGCAATTCAAAGGCACAAAGAAGAGGACTGGGTTGAGATGTGCAAGTTAAAAATGTGTGTGTGAGTTTCTGCGTGGCACACATACATGAGAAATTTGCTTTCCTCTGCCTCTCTCTGACAAACACCCCACCCCTTTGTGCCTCTCCAAATCCGAAACGTCGCCCCTGCGCGGGGTGCTGCCAATGGGTGCGAGCCTTTGAAAAGACGACAGTGGGATCCCCGCCGTGTGCGCTCCGGTTTGAGTCCGGTGTGGGTGGCGAGGGCATTTTGGGGGGTCCCCCAGCGCCCCGCCTCTTCTGATTCTGGATTGTTTGTGCCTCTACCCTGTTTCCCTCAGATCGCAGCCATCCTGACGAGCTCGAGGAAGAGCAGAGCAACAGCAGAGGTGGCGGTAAGAGCTCCAAGGCCCCGTCGGAGGAAGACGAGGCGGCGGCGGCGGCAGCAGCAGCTGGGTCCGGCTCGGCCCCGATGGCCGCTTCGACGGCAGCTCCGAAGCCGCGAAAGAAGCGCTCCCGGGCGGCATTTTCCCACGCGCAAGTCTTCGAGCTGGAGCGACGCTTCAACCACCAGCGCTACCTGTCCGGGCCCGAGCGCGCCGACCTGGCCGCGTCGCTCAAGCTCACCGAGACGCAGGTGAAGATTTGGTTCCAGAACCGGCGCTACAAGACCAAGCGGCGCCAGCTGGCCGCGGATCTGCTGTCCTCGGCGCCGGCCGCCAAGAAAGTGGCTGTCAAGGTGCTAGTCCGTGATGACCAGAGGCAGTATCACCCGGGCGAGGTCCTCCGGCCGCCGCCCCTCCTCTCCCTCCAGCCATCCTACTATTACCCCTATTATTGCCTACCGGGCTGGGCTCTCTCGGCCTGCGCCGCGGCCGCCGGGGCCACGCAGTGACGGGGACTCCCTGCGCTCGATCCAGGCTGGATTAAGAGCCGTGGCTTCGGACTAAGGCAAATGGACGAGACCCGGAGGGCGGGTGGGCAGGCGGGGGGCGGGGAGCACTCTGACCCGCTGTCTCCGAACCCCAAAGAACATCATTATTTCATCTGCCCCTCCCCCATGTCTTTTGGTCTTCCAGCGAAACTCCAGTGGAGCCTCCCCGACGGGGCTGGATGAATGTAAGGCAGCCTCCGCTCCACGCTTCTCTTTCTTCGAGGCGGCAAAAGGGTGAGGTTTTGCCCAACACGCACCCCAGAACAGCGCAAATAAATCCAAACCTATTTTATGCCTCGGCGCAACCCCGCCGGAAGTTCTCCGGCGCGAACTGGCCCCCTTGGGCAACGGAGGAGCCGCCGCCTGTGAGTCCCCGCTGCCCATTCACTTCCATGGGCCGTGCGCTGGGTAACTTCCCGCTGGATCGCGCCCTGTTTCTTCGAGGCGATGATGGAGAGGATTTGGGAGAGTTGATATTTTAGCACTTTGCGGTTGTATTAAATTGTTGTTATTATGATAATTATTTTTATATTCAATGTGAATATTTTAGTCGGGCCTGCGGGGGTGGGGTGGGAACCCTCTAAAGGGAGTTTCAGTACTATTCAGTGTCTTCTCGTGTCTCTTCGCTGTCTCAGTTTCCCAGCAAACCTCGCTGTCATTCTCTCTGGTGGACGCCTGCATATTTGTGAATATTTGTTTGTTAATCCGTTCCCCTGTACCTATTCTTTTTTTAATTTATAAAGTTCAGTTTAACTCCTGACTATTGTCTCCTTTTTCTACGACTGGCCTTGATTCTCAGGCCCAGTTTAGTCGGACTTACCACCGAGTAAAATTAGTGAGAGGACCCTTTCCTCGGTGAATTCTGCTCGGTGTGATTCCTGTAAAGGAAAAGTAACTTGACTTTATATGGCGGGGTTAGCCCTGCTATGAATATAGTGGAACCTGTTTCCGAGTAAAAATGATAGTTTCCGGCTTCACTTTCCTTTGTCTCGGAAGCAAACGTGTTTGATTTTGGATCGCTAAGAAGAAGTTCGGCCCATGACAATGTGGCCTTTAGCCCGGATCTGCTTGAAAGTTAATCTGTAGGTGCTCAACGAAGTTTGGTTCGGGTCCATTAGGTGTAGAATCCTACCTGACTTTCCCCACAGTGAAGTTCGTCTTTCCTGGGTTGTGGATCATTCCACTGAATGCCTCCACATCGCCCGCCGCTGTGACTCCATTTCCATTTTCCATAGCAAAGTCAACGGCAGTGCCAATCTCTTCATACACGAGGTCTGTATTTTCACGGCCCACCGTACTTCTGTGACGGCACGATGTGTGTGTGTGTGTTCTGTTTTAACTGTGCTCTGCTTTAACTGTTTTTAATTCTAAAATTTAAATCGTCGTAACCCTCCCTGGCATCTGCTGGTGAAGGGCGGGCAATAAATTTAATAATAATCTTAATCCATTCCCTGCAAACCTTTGGGTAAGAGCGCTTATGAAAAGAGGATGGGCTGCCCAAGCCTCTGTGCATCCTTGCTTTTGAAACCAGGTGCCACCCTCAAGGTTCCTTGCATGTAGAGATAGCGAGATTTTATACACAGCATAGCTTTAGATTCCTAAGATGCTTCCTCTTCCTCCCACTGTACACACACACACACACACACACACACACACACACACTAGTGGGTTGCGTTTCTCCCGAGGTTAACTAGCTGTGAAAGGTTTCTTTTCGCATCTCGGCTCACAATAGCTAAAGGAGTCGCGAGAAAATGGGCAGACTCCGATCGAGGACGCAACGCACGTCTACACAAATTGCTGGGTGGAGGAAATGTGTCGTATGGACACCTGAGAGAACTTGGGCTTGAGATCAACTGAGCAACTGGGGCCAAAGGGCAGCTATTTGGGTTTTGCCTATTAGCTTCGGGGAAGCGCCGACGTGTCCCACACGTTGGCCCAACAGGGGCTAACCTAGCGGGGCTTGGTGAGGAATTCGTGGCCATTTAAACAGTGAGGCAATTGTACCGGGTTTCTTTCTTTCTTAGTGGTGGAAGCCCTTTGACAAGCATCCAAGCAAGCGCCTTGATTGGATGCTGCTTCTCTTAGCACAAGGGGATATATTAATAAGTACCATCCTCTGTGGGTGCGTGTGGGCGTAGGTGTGCCATTCCCCCCCCCCCCGTGTGTGTGTACACACACCCAACCACCCTTGAAGAGTCACTTGGTGGGAAGCTTCCAGCTTTTGAACGAGTCTCCTTCCAAAGTTCCTGCCCCGGCCCCATCAATGCTGAGCTTCTCTCCTCCAAAATTAAGCACCAGGGGAATGCATTTGGGGGGAGAGCGCGGCCAGCTCGCGGAGAGGGATTGTTGTGCCCGCAGCCGAGCCGGTGATTGGACGGTTTCGTTGCGCGCGAAGGCGCCCATGACAGAGCCCTGGATGTCTCTCTCCATCGCCAGGGCGTCAGAGACGGGAGCTGGACTTGGGAGAGTAAGGATTCCCACTGCCATTTATCCCAAGAGGTTTCAGATCCACCAGATCTCCGCAAGAGCGAACTTCACCCCTTACCTCCAGGTTCAAAATCCTTAGGGCTGCAACCTTTAGGTGGGAAAATAACCAGCTAGCTGCGCAATCCTATGCGTGTTTCCTCGGAAGAAAGTCCTATTGAGCTTACGGTTCCGATCCTAATTCCTGCGCACACTGAATGCGGATAAATCCCCCTGATCTCGGTGTGGATTACTCAGCCGAACATACACGAGGGATTAGGCCAGAAAGCTGTATCTGATTTATCGAGGAGAGATGGGCAGAAGGGAATTAAGGGAAGTTAAGGGAAGGAATGTTGGGTTTTCAAGCTATTTTTCTCGCAAAGTACTGGTGACTTATAAGGAATGGGACGGGGAAAGTAAATAATATTTTAACCAGTTAGAGGCAACTTTGTTGATCATATCCTCAGTTAACTTGCAATTCCTCTACTTTGAGCTTTTGGTAAGATAACTACCATATTAATCAGTGAAAGGGCAGGGGACTAAACATGATGCGATAGGCTCTGGAATGCATTGCCTTGTCAAAGAGCTGCTATCCATACTTTCACTTTGATCTGCTGCGGCCGGGGCGCGTGTCTGTCTGCGGAGAACCGCACTCAGGACCGGGACCATTTTATCAGGCAGCCTGCTGTGTTCTTATCAGAATACACCGCGCAGAGGTTCCAGAAAAAGCATTTGGCAAGATCCGCCTTGTGTTGGCCACAGAGGGGAACAGTAAAACCGTGAGAAGGCGGCAGTCTAAATCCGCCTGTGAGGCCAACGGCCTTTTGCACTAAAAAGAGAAAACAATGTTCCGCTCTCCATCTTTCTCTGCGCTCTTTCTCCAGTGGCGTTGAGGAGGCAAAATCGCGAGGCTCCGAGCAGCGTTCTTGAGATGCAAATAAATCATTAAGAGTCGTGAAATCGGCGCAATTAAGTCCTGTTACGCTTTCGGCCCCTGTTAAGGTAGTGATCCTGATAACCGCTCAAGATCATTCAGCCAAGGGGAACTTTCTTCCATGTAAGCACGGGTGGTCAGGGCTGGACAGGGCGGTGGCCGGGGAAGCCTCACCAGTCCAGATCTGTTATCTACGGACTGCTGGGAGCCGCCGACCTCCTGGAGCGGAAAGAGTTGGCTCTGGAGCACAGGGAAGGGGGATCGGGGTTCATAGCCAGGTAAACGGGGTTCACTTAACTACTGAGCGGCTCCATACACCCCGCGTCCTTTGGCTTTGGCCTTTTTCTTTTCTTTTCTTTTCAGTGCTGCGTTTTCCTTCTCGGACTTCCACCAGGCTGGAAGGAGAGTCAGTCGAGGCGGGGCCTTTTTGCTGAGAGGCAGCGTTTGTCTTGGGGCTGGGGGCGCCGAGGAAGTGGGAGGATTCTCTTCTTGCCTCTGGATTTGCTTTCAGGCCGAATTTTGCCACTCCCCATCGGGGAAATGTTCAGAGGGACAATCCTCAGGATCTGTTTGTAGGCAAAGGTGTTGTGTTTTGACTCCCCCAGGGCCCCAGCTTGACTTCTTCTCTCGGGCAAATGTTCCTGAGACATTCAGAGCTCTGGCCGAAAGAAGAGCAGGCTTTGTGGGCCGCCGGGAGAGGAGGGGAGCCACGATTGCCCTTGAACACCGTCCCCCCCGCCCCGCAAAAAAAAGCAACCGGTCCCGCGCTCCTTTCATTTGTTCTAAGGTGTTGCACAGATTAAGAAGGGTCTGCTGCCATGGGCACGATCCAGCCGCAAAGAAGCACATTTAAATCCTCTCGGCTTCTTTTCCACGAGGAAGGCTGAAGACAGGGTTTGTCTTATTGAAGCCCGTGTGTGAGTGTGTAAGAAACCCTGTATTGAAAGGGTCATGTTTACTCCGTCTTTCAGCTGCTAATAATAGTTAACTCCCATCACAGTCAGTAGTGACATTTACAGCTCGATCCAGGTCCCAATTAAACCGAATAGTTTATTAAAAGCCTTATTTATTTATTTATTTATTTATTACCGAGTCAAACAAGTTATTTTCAATACGAACATTCATTCTGATTTAAAAACAACCGCCGCCACCAAAGCGCTACCTCTGAGTCATCTTTTTTTTAAAAGCAAATTCTTACTTTTCTGTTAAAAAACAACAACCACCAACTCATATGCTTTATAATACTCTGAACTCAGGAAACAGGAGCAGCAACATCCTGTGGCATATTTTGATTTATTCCTCGCCAAGTACGATTGGGTCTCACGGAGCCGTTTTCTTGCAAATGAAAGGTATGTGTCCCAGCTCCCTTAATGAGGACAAGGCCCCTTCCGCTCCCTGGATTTGAATGGAGTCTGGGTTGCATCGTAAGACTTTGGGGTTCGACCCATTTGTCTGAGGATCTATTTGTGCTGGGGAGGCTAACACTTATTTGACAACGCCATAAAGGGTTAGAAAATTATGGTAAGGAGAAAGAGAGCAGATACTACGCATTTATTTTCCCCTCTTGAAGGGGCTGCCTTGGAGATTAGAACGTGGCTCTAAACCCACCAGATATAACAAAGAAAGAGGCTATTGTGTTATTTATTTTACGTTTCTATCCCACCTTTCCTCCAAGGGGCTCAAGCAGACTTGCGCGATTCTCCCCCTTCTCCTCTTTCTCCTCACAACGACCCTGTGAGGTAGGTTAGGCTGAGAGACAGGGGCCGAGTGGGAGGAAAGCCCTGGTCTTCCAGCTCCTAGTCCAGCCCTCGAGACCCTCAGATCGTTCTCTTCAGAGGCTGCGGAAGAAGGCAGGCGCCCGGCTGAAGAACCACGGAAGCCCTCCTCCGTCGCCTGCGCTCGGGGCTTGGGCCTTTCCAGTGGCATCTGCCCAGCCGCTGTGGGGGCCGAATGCTGGGCTTGGTGAGCCCTTGGTCTGACCCAGCAGGGAGGGCCTTCTCACGTTCTTAGGGCGTCTCACACACATGTTTTTCCTTCCAGCGAAGCGTGCAGGAATCGCAGTTTCCACCTGTCTCGAGAACGCCGAGGCCTCTCTGGTCCTTTTCGCAGAAGCAGGTCGCTTTCAAGGCAGGAAAAGAGGGCGAAGGAAGGGAGCCCGAGGGGCCCGTCCGCCCACCCGACGGCGGCTGCCCTTCCGTCCTGGGCGCTGGCTGGGAAACGCGGAGTCAATAAATGGTAGGCAGGCGCTTGCAGGAGAGCGCCAAGAGAAGGGCTGGCCGCCTCCAGGCCAGCTGATTATTGAGGAATTTCTGGTGCAGAATCAGGCTCGCATCAAAATTCGCATATTATTATGAGTATTAA